GAAGAATTTTTTTTTTTTTTTTTTTTTTTTTTTGTACCAGTATCAAACTCAAACTCGGGACCTTTCGAGGGAGATGGCGGAACTACTGAGCTACATCCCTGGCCCCCTTGGAAGAATCTTATACTAGTGCTGTCTGAAAATTAAGTACATTCTTGTGAAAGTTAAAGATCTTCCCACATGGAAACCTCAAGGGGAGTTAACTGTGCAGAGACAGCTGGTTTGTGTTCACTTGTCACAAGATGGGTGGAAGAGTCAGTTTCTAGCATTGTTGTAAGTGCAGGATTTCTAGGACTTGTGCATTCAGACTACTGAGGTTTGAGCTGAGCCGTTATGTCACATACTAGCCTACAACCTGTTAAAGTTCTTGGAGGTGCTTCAATCTTGATTGAGCACTTGTCTGATTGAGCTGAGTTAGGGCTGTCAGCTTTTGATGGTAGTTTAATCTCCACATCACATTTCACTCAGCTATTACATTGTGGATCTTGAAAAGGTGCATTCCAGGGGTCCAGGTAATGTGTCTAGCATTGGTGCAGACAGGAAGGTATCCTGACTCGATTATGAGCTTCTGGTTTGTGCGGATGTGCCTGGTCAACAGGCCAGCCCTATCCAGTTAGAAAAGAAGACGCTATGGTGCCCATCCAGCCCTGCTGTATTCTCCTAGGATCCTCACACCCGTCCTCCCCTCTTCCCTGTGCTGTGCCTGGATGGTGGACCCTGCAGACTGGCTGCCAGGGCTCACTGTGAAGGGTATTGGTGGACAGAGGGGCTGCACCCCTCCAACCAGGGTTCCCTCCTGCAGGCCTCCTCCATAGTCCACCTCCCACTGAGTTCCGGTTGTGCCCCTTCTGCCCCTTTAGCTAGGAAGCTACTGCTACTCCCCAAGCTTCTCATCATTCCTTGTTGACATCCTTATTCCTGCCTTTCCCTCTGTAAATAGACCTTCTGCTTATTGGGACTCTGCTGAATATACTCCAGGTCTGGCTTCTTAACTTGCTTTGTTCTGATCTCATAAGCATCTAGCAACTTCCAAGAGTAGTCATCCCTTTTGCATTCGTCTCCAGAAAAGGAAAATGCTACTCGGTGGTGGAGTATGCGAGCCGGCTGGCATGTTACATTTCACTAAAGTCATGAACTGGCATTCTGAAAAATACATTATAGTCTCATGAATCAGCATGACTGATATTTGGAGCTCAGTCCCATGTCCAAATCACCCTGAGGGCCACACAGGAGGATCTGATCAGAGTTACTCTGGGAGATCTTTGCTCATGGTCCCTGCCCTTCCCCAGGCTGTGTTGTCACCTCTTTCCCTGTGCTGTCTCTGGCAATGCCCTCTCAGTCTGCTTTGCTCATTTACCATTCTCTGCTCAGCAGTGATTGGATAGTGCAGTTGCTTGAGGCCCACGTATGGGACCCTTCTCGCCTTCATAACACTTCCTGGCAGTCTTTTTTGGTACAGCTTAGCTTCAGCTTGAAGGCAGCGCTGCTGGATTTACCTCTATCCCTAACTTCTCCAAGCTCAGGGCCCTGGGTCTGACTCCTACTTGGCATTTTTTCTTGCTTGTTTCAAAATAATTTCAGATTTTTTATTTCTGGGGAGGGAGCATGGTGGGGATCAAACCATTTCAGGCTGAGGCTACCAGGAATGGAGCCAAAGTCAGCCAAGGTCAGGTTTATGTTTTATTGCAGTGTGAGAGACTGAAAGGCATCTTATCAAACAGAGAAGATGACAGAATTGTCATAAGACTTGGGGCAGGGCAGAATTTAGGTGACTTGGAAATAAAGTAGAGCTGTATGTAAAGTGGTAGTGTAAGTCTGACTGTGGAGTGGATCTGAGTCTTATTTGCTTGAAAACTACAAAATGCAAATAGACATGAAGTCCCTTACTTACAGCTCTGTGGCAAATGGGAAATCAAGGCTGTTGCTTTGTGTCACAGTGACTCTGCAGGCAAGTGGTGTTTTCTTCTTATGTAAAATCTCAAATAGCAAAGTTTCCATGATCCTGGGGTTTGCAGACTGAAGTTTCTCAGTAAATAAGAATTCAACAGTCCCTCAAAGGAAGGGTCACTATGACCCTTGTTAGTTACAGTGTCCTTGGGAGATGCATTTCCTGTTAACTATGCATCTGGCTTTGTCTTTGTCTGCTATTCCACCCTGACAAAAGGCAGGACAGATTGTCACTTCCTCAGAGAGCAAGGTAATTTTTACTTTCTTGCACCTGACTCATGTTAACCATCCCCTCCCTTCATCTCACACTGGCCTGTCTCAGTCTCCCCAGAGCAGTGCCTGCTACAGTTAGAGACCTTGGAGTCACTTGTCTCTCCTCACTGCTCCCCTGGAAACCTGTCCACTGGTAAGGCCTGTGCATTTTGCCCTGGAGAAGTGTCCTGATTCATTGGCTGCCATATTGTGCCTAAATCCTGAGCTTGCGTCAGGAGGCACACCGCCTGCCCTACCAGCCTGGGAAGTTTTATGACAGTCCGTCTAAGCATGCCATTCCTCTGCTCAAGGCTTTAGCAGCTGCTCCTTGCTCTTAGGATAGAGGCCATGCAACTTTTGTGGATACCACCAGTGCCACTCCTGCCCCAGGTCCTAAACAAGGCCATACTGTGGCTTCAAAGGCTGCATATCATTGGACACAGCCTTGGCCCAGAGTCACTGTCTGCTCTGCTTTCTCTCCTGTTAGGTGGTGTAATTCCCTGTGCTGCTTCTGACAACATGGCTTTGTTTCCATTTTACTGCGTGACTTGGAGGAAGGGCAAGATCCCCTTTTCTGTCAACTATTGTCTCCTCTTCCTGGCCACATTTTTGACCCTAAGGGAGTACCCTTTCCTTTCTGCATGCTTCTTTTTTCTGAGCTGCAGTTTTATGAGGCTCTCATGCTTCTCGAAACCCATTGTCTTAGTTACTTTTCTTGTTCCTGAGACAAAATACCCAACACCCAAAGTTAAAGGAGAAAAGGTTTATTTTGGCTCACAGTTTTTAGAGGTCTTAGTCTTGTTGGTTGGCTCCAAGGCATGGTGGCCTGGCAGAGGGGCACCAGGGAGGAGAAACAGTTCAGGGTGGGCAGAAGGCAGCAAAGCAGTGAAGTAATGAGGAAGCAGCAGCAGCCTGCCTCACCCTTGAACACCTAAGCTACCTGCTCTTTGAGTGGCGCCACCCATACCCAGACTGGGCCTTCCCACTATCCACACCCAGAACTGTTCCAGACCAATCAGTGGCCTGATTTAGTAATCACACACCCTAGATCCAGCCACCTCTGAAAAGCCCCACCTATGACCACATGAGGCTTTGGGGGAACATCTAATGTGAGTCATACACCTGTGTAGAGCAAAAGAAAGGACCACAGTGGCCTGGGGCATTGAAGGAGCACATGTGGGTCTGCTTCTGTTGTCTGCTTTTCCTCTCGGTAGGCCTGATAGTATTATCGGTAACAGATTTCCTTACATAAAAACTAATGGATGCTCTGAATGATGGTATTTCTCTCCTGTTCTACAAGGGTTTTGTTTGTTTGTTTGTTTTTTAAGAGGGAGTTGCTCACCTTAATCTTGTCAGAGGTTGAGCTGACCTGTGGCTGCCTCTGGTCTCAGTTCCAGCTGGCCTGTCAGGTTCATAGTGTATCTTGGGGCACTGGTCCTTCCAAGGCAGTACTGGTTGCCAGAGACCTCCACTGTGGCAAGCCTTGACTGCCAGTTCTGCCGTCTTTCTTGCATGCCATGAACCTGATTCCAGCTCTGCCTGGCAGCTTGGCCTCTTCATTCACTGCCTGCTTCTGCTGCCTCTCTGTACCACTTACTGATTGCTGAGTGCCTTGTGGGGAGAAATGGTGCTGATGCCAGCTTGTTTTTCCGTTTCCATTTCCTCCAGGGTCGTGGCCCATCCTTGGGTCTTGATAGTCGTGTGATGTGTTTCCTCAGCTCCGTAGCATTGTTGAATGCCCTGCTTAGTTTAGCTGTCTCTTTGCCTGTGTTGCTTGCAATGTGTAGAGGGTTCAGGTACAAGTGGGGTGGAATGTTGGGCTCACCTGGGAGAGATCTGTCTTCTAGGGCCTGATCCTCAAGATCCGCCTGTCTTACAGCCCTCAGATACTTTTTCAAAGTCTTGTTTGAAGTTGGCTTTTTAGGGTTATTCTCGGTGGAAGAATTGTTCTGCTCTAACCACAACACAACTGGAAATGGAAGTCCCGCCGTGTTGTTGTCTTGGTTTTTAATTTGTTAAAAATATTCCGTAATGTTGTCACAAAGGAGAGGCGTTGGAGGGGCTCCACATTAATGGGGGCTACAGATATATGACAACTAAGTGATCCTGCAGTAATTGACCCCTGATCCTATACTTGAAGGAGAAAAATGCTATCCAGGACAGTATAGGACCATGGGTCAAAATACAGATCTTGGTGGTAAGTTGAAGTATTACATCAGTATTAATTTCCCTGAAGCTGGAAATAGTATGTTATGGATATCTAAGACATCTCTTTGTTTGTTTGTTTGAGGCAGGGCTTTGCTGTG